CTTATCTGTTGACTGGGATCAGCTGATTCTCAACACTATTTGGTTTTGTCGGTATCTGGGAAGTCCTTAGACTTCAAACAAGCAGTGTCCTTTTATTTTATTATTATTTTAAAATTGGTTTCGGGATGCAATGTCTTATACAGTGTAAAACCAGGAGAAAACCAGTTATTTTTCCAAGCTACATTCCTGTATTTCACCTTGTATACAGATGTGTAGGTTATATTCGTATAACCTACATATATATATTTGTATGAGAAAAGAGTATGTGGCTTCCCAAATCCCTATCCCCTCCAGGCTCCAGTGATGCAGAGCCAGTCACTGCTTTACCCCCAAAGCAACAATGTGGTGCATGAAACAGCAGGCTGGTTCCCTGTGGAGAACAAAATGCTGGAGTGGCAGACAGAGGCTGAGGCACTCCAACCATTATGGGAAGAGACACAGTCAAGATGCACGAGGAAAATCTGAAATATTCACATGGACTCTAAAATGTAGTGCATAACTGTGTATGCCATTTTTCCATCTGTATGTGCGTACTTTGAATACAATTTTGAAAAGTGTTTTCAGCAATGAAGTGTCATTTTTTGAGTCTAAGAAATACGTGTCAGTAAGCTAAAGGGAACCTGAGGCAAAATCCTATTAGAAATTATATAAGTGTTTTCAGTTGACACTAACCAATCTCAAACAACTGTGTAAAATACTTGGCATCTTTCTTCCTTCAAATATCACTTATTTCACTCATGCCACCTTAAAACATGTTTTAAACATTTCTTAAAATTAATGTTTATTTCATTTATTTCCTACCTGTCACTACTGGATTTTTAAAAGGTGGCATAATAAATACAGGAAGCAGGCTTTTAGGGTTGGGAGTATGTATGAGGAGTTGCAGGTTTTTAAGAGAGAAAAGTGAGAAACCAGCCATCAAGACAACGACAGGCAGCACAAACTGAATATTAGCCTATAGTCATCATCCACACTTATCTTACTGAGCCTCTAAGGTTGGAAATGGTACCTTTGGTAACAGTCTTATTCCACACCCATCTTCAAGCTTTTTAACTCAACTACCCATCACAAGTTTTGTGATGCCAAATTTGACCAGTGGTCACAAAAAGACAAGCCACTACAATATGTAGACTGCTATGAAAATGATGGGGGTTAAAAAACACCCATCTCTCCAAAACGTATACGAGCAGTCCATTATCAGACAGGCAAAACAAATTGTGTCTGATCCGACCCACATACTCCACCCAGAATTTCAGCTCCTACCTTCTGGTAGAGGATTCAGGGTTCCCAAGAGCAGGCTGAACCGCTATAAGCACTCATTCCTACCTATGTCGATTAAGCTTCTTAACATTCACATGAAATGAAATGTAGTCAAATGTAATGAAATGTACTTTTTAAATGTTGGCCATGAGGGTTGTGCAATAGGTCGCCATTGTCAGCGTCTGTGTATTGTGTTTGTTCAAACGGTGTATGACTGATGATATGTGTATGTCTCTTAATGTCCACTATGTTTGTATATGTACATGTATGCGGAACTGCAGGACGGAGTCCAGAACAAATTTCCTTACGGGGACAATAAAGTATATCGTATCGTATCGTATAATATATTTTTATGAATCTTCTTTATGAATGTACAGAGACAAGAAGCAAAAGACTGGAGTGAAACAACTGCGAGATGTTGGTGAGCTAAAAGCGTCTCAATTTAAGATTCAGGACATTAAAACGGATACAGTGCTGAAGACGGGAGCCAACAACGACCTAAACATTTGAAATAAAGGCTTTTCTAGTTATCTTAGTGTTAAGTTAATTTACCTCTAAAAAATAATAATTAGACCCTTAAGACTTGAGAGTGTCATCTTTATATACATGTTCACTCCCTGCTCTGCATGTGTCTTTCTTGTCAATTTTCTATTCCCTGCTGTCCTTACTTCCTCTCGCATCTCCTTTTTCATTTCTGCTTTTTCTCCAGTTTTCTGTTCTTAAGAAAAGGACGAGGGCAATGCTTCTGGTTATTGGTCCCTGAAGTCTAAATGTAGAACACACTCACAACCCATTAGTTGCATGGTGTAAAACATTATCACGGTAGATGAAGATAGGGTATGTTATATTTAGGATCTCCGTGTGTGTGTGTGTAATTATCACTATGGGGACTCACTCCCGGACTGTATGATTCCTCTTTTACACACTCCTAAATCAAATACTTAAATTAGATCTCTCCCTCTCTCTGTCTTTGGTGCTGTTTAATTACTCTGTTTCCATATTCAATGAAGAGAAGAGAACAAGAGGAGAAAAAGAGAGGAGATTTATTTTTAGATTTTTCAGCAGGTTGTTTGGCTGTAAGGAAGGACAGCATGGTTTCAACCCCGGATTAGAGACACCTACAGTGACACACACACACACACACACACACACACACACACACACACACACACACACACACACACACACACACACACACACACACACACACACACACACACACACACACACACACACACACACACACACACACACACACACACACACACACACACACACACACACACACACACACTTTAGTCACACATCGGCAGGTAAGCCCTGGTATTCATGAAAATCTACAGAAAATGGTGTACCATTTATACAAATGTTTCTTACTGACAAAAGGCAATATTTGACCTGTATATATAAGTTATAGCAAAATCAGTATAATGTGTATATTTATAATGCAATAGTAACTATAATAGCGACAAAACTCCACAACCTAATACATAGACATTTACTGACCTTGTTATTATCTGACCTCTCTGATAGCAAATCCAACAGTGTTATTTAAGTGTGTGTGTGTGTGTGTGTGTGTGTGTGTGTGTGTGTGTGTGTGTGTGTGTGTGTGTGTGTGTGTGTGTGTGTGTGTGTGTGTGTGTACTCTCTCTTACCTCGTTCTCTCAGGTTGCGGAACAGTTTGGAGGATCCTCTCCATACTGGGGGAGTTTCTACCAAAGTCTTCTCCAGCTCCTGACAAATGCACAAAAACAAACTCACATATATATATATTAACTCAAAACCTACACCTTCAAGCTTCAAACAATGACATTTGCATTGACAGAGACAGTGGCTATCATGCAAGGATTCACAATAAAACAATCAAGTGAAAAAGTAACAAAGAATGTGAAAACAAGAAAAGTTGTTTTTTTCAGATTTAAAAATTGTGTTTTCTCTTTCATATTTTTGAAAACATGAGCTGCCAACATTAATTGGATGTAAATAGGTCACTGGTAGAACAATGGAGCAATGTTTGATCAGCAGGTTCCTGTTTTGCTTGTATCTCGTGCTCTACTAGAATGACCCCGTGGGTAACACGATACATATTGGTGCCTACTGCAGAGAGCAGAAATGCAAATGTATAATGTTTGCAAGAAACGCTTTCCACTGATAAACAACTGGTAGTTGTAAGGCTCAGAGAAGACGGGGGGAAAGTAGACTGCGGGTCAATGTTAAAAAAACAATCTAACAATGATTTTTGAGCAAGGAAACAAATTAAACACATTTGTTGTGCCTCATACTGTAATAGACACAAACATAACCAAACACAGGGTACCTTTAAGATTGTATTGGGCTTTTAACCTGGTAAAAGAAAATTATGTCCTGTAGTTCTACAATATACAATATTTCTAGAAACATATAATTAAAGGTAGGGTAGGTAAGTTTGAGAAACCGGCTCGAGATACACTTTTTGTTATATTCCATGGAATGCTCTTAACATCCCGATAGCAATGAATATCTTAAGTGCTTTGACAAAAAATCCATAAAAAAATGTCATCTGTGGAAGCCGTAGTACTGTAAAAAGTACGACCAATCATTTTAGCCGGCCCGGCTAAGATAACTGGATGGCCTACCTGCCTGTCAGCCTTCCATCTGTGCACAAACTTATCTCGAGCCCTCATTGGTCATGTGCGCGTTCGTGTGTGTTGGAGGAGGGGCTCTGTAAGGAAGTGGCAGATTTTCTCCGGTTGTGTATTTTCAAATTCTAGCGATCTCGAGCCGGTTTCTCAAACTTACCTACCCTACCTTTAACAAGTCAGTTATTAACAAGTTAACTATGGTTTGTCCAACTGATGTTAATACAATTGCATTACAGAAGTCACCTGATTGATGCCAATTGAATGGAACAATTGCTATATTTACATATGACTATTTTTCCATGTACATTTGTTATGTTAAATTGTAGTGGAAAATGTAACACAGATTCAAATGTTCAAAGGTGAAGGGGTCAGGATACTTTCTGCAGCCGCTATATATCACTCTTTAAACACCTGGACTGCTTTTCATAGTCTAACTCTTACCCACATAAGTGACCAGTATATAGTATATATAGGACATATATTGTTTACATTTGGTGGCCGCTAAAATCTTCCTTCACATGTTTTTATATCCTTGCATAATGCGACAATGAAACCAATAACGATGTGCAATCATGCATAAATGCTAACAGATTCTGTCTCTGAAACAATCCTGGCAAAATCTGTATTTTGACTGCAGTGTGCAACAGATGTAACATGCAGCAGCAGCAGGAACAAGCATCAGGAGTGTGTGTCCCACCTGTTTGGCCAGGGACCTCCAGGGCCTCTTGTCTGCCAGGGAACGAGACAAAAGAGGAGAGAAGAAGAAGGGAAAGAGGAGAAGAGAGTTTGGGTGGGCTTGGTTAGATAGCATCTGTATGATCTAGAAATGGGTCTTAATGTGCCCGGTACAGTCACAACACACACACACACACCAACAGGCACAGACACACTCACTGTATATACACTGTCATCATCACAGGCCCATTTGTACCGTCTAAAGTGCCCCGTGCTTGTCTTTGTAGTACGTGGAATGTCCCCGTAAAAGCACATACTACTTTTGTTCTGTTTTATACAACAAAGTTCATCTAATTCAACTTCAAAGGGGGCATTAGAGGATGTCGGCTGCTGAGAGGGTATGTGCGGCTGTATCGTATGTCAGTGAGCCTGGCTGGATGTAAACACACACATACAGGTGCACAGTTTGCACGCAATACAATCACATGCGCGCTGAAGGAAGGAATGGTAGCTCTTTTGGAAGTTTTGGTTTTGATAATCTCAACTTGTGAGGGCATTTTTAAAGCAGTTGTCACAAAGTAAAAAAATAAGTTAAGTGTCTGGTTTAGATATTTACTGGAGAAAGAGCCAATATGAGCAAATGGAATGTGGACAAGTAGAGTGTGTGTGAGTGTGTCTGTGGGAGTCGGTGTGTGTGTGTGTGTGACTAACATTAACCTCAGACTAAACATTAGCTGTAAAGCCATCTGCTTTGAGGCTGGCTGGCCAGGGCTAATCTGTTAGGACTGGCAGCAGGCTGACAGAAACAGCAATGACGTGTTTAAACCAACTAAAGGGTTTTAAAACTTTCTGTAAAAGATGATCTATTTTACACCTGGCACTAGCATCCATATTGGGAGATACATTTTAGATCAGATGTGTCCATCAGCAAACTAAAAACACATTATTATTTTTGATTTTGATACAAAAATGCTTGTGTACCAAAAAGGAAAATAAAGAAATATAACTTTAGGATCCAACTCGCCCAGTTATGTTCAGTAGAATTGTGAGTTTCTGAAATAGGTCTGTATTGTATAATAAATGATGTCACGTGTAAGTGTAATCATTCAAATCTAGACACAGTTCAAATTTCATGAAAAAACCTGTATGGCTGCGTTAAACTGAAATGGCTCATACTAGAGAATGTAGTTTCCCTCAAAGCAAAAAAAAAATGTAAAGTTCAAAAACACTTTGGACCATGAAAGCAAGGTCTCTACACAATATATAAAAGCTACAATAATCTACTCTAGGTGGATAGAAACCCACATTATTATGTCCCATGTAGAGTGTTAAACGGGGTGAAAAAGTGTATTTGTGAGTGAGTGAAACATACTTTTGGGTTCGCTCATGGTGACCGACTCGATGAAGTTCTGAGGAGTCATGTAAAGCTGCCCATCGTACTCCACAGAGCTGAACATGCGGAAGCGATGCTCATGGGACGACATGTACACGTCTCCTTCCTCAAAGTCAAACGGACGTGCCTGCAGACATAAAAACAAAACGCAGAGCAAAATATGAATCTATTAAATCAAATATTAAGAAAATATTTATTTTTTAAAGAATCAAAAGAGAATGCATAATCAGAACAAAATAACAGTTAACAGAAGGACACAAAACAATCAAATGAGTGCATTTTACATTACTTACAATAAATCATAGTGAGTGATGTTAAAGTATAGGCATTACCAAAGGTACATGTCATAATGTACTTTAAGTATTATACCAGCAGGCTTCCCCATCTAATAAGAGGGAACGCACAGACAGCAGAATCTAAAGTGTCCGTGCCTCTTCACTGCTTTTGAATTTCTTTAATGAGGAGATCCATCTATTCTTGGCATCAACTTTTCAACTTGCACCTCTGGCGCAGTACAATAACAGGAAAAAGGGGCGCACGAACACACATACACACACAAATACTTTGTCACTACTTTCTACTTGATTAGCATCTCTCCCTCTCTCTCTCTCTGCGAGGAGCCAGGGCTTCAACTTGATTAGCTGCAGAGTAGGAGAGCAGCTCCCACAGATTGTGCTGCATGAAGCGGTGTAATTAGCAGAGAGGTTTCCAAATGTAAACCTGTTTGGCCGCAGGGCCCAGCGCACTGAGGTTCCTGCTCAGCGCAGCTAACATGCTAATGAGCACACAGATTCATTCATAAAGCTTTGATGCTGCCTTCACCGAGGGGGCTTTTGAAGGCGTGAATAGGAGATGAGCTCTCGGCTTCATAGGAATGCACTGTAATCAAGTGTAAAAGCACAGGCGCCCATGGCTTTGACTCTCACTAATGAATGAAGTTTATAAAGTTCTGCAAAGGCAGCTCGGTTCACATGCCAAGCGGCACGACATGATGTGAAAAGTAATGTGAGCTCCTCGGGAAAAATATATTTAAATGGCAGTGATTTGAAATGACATTCAGTGAGGTACACCGTGTTCTTGCGTGGTTATAATGATATGTAGCCACAACTAAACCTGTCACCAAGCCTTGTTCTCCTAACTGCAAAGCAGATGCTCCAGGTGTTTTCCCCTCAGTGTTCTCCATCTGCAGATTTAAGTCCATCTCTTCATTTTTTTGTTAATTTAGTCATATTAAAGTACAATCTATCTGGCTAAGGTGCCAGCATATATGAACCAGTTCTTACGTCTGAGGTGTTAAAATCTCAATGTTTTTCAGCTTCTTTTGGAATCATACAAATACAAAGAGGGTTATAAAGTAGCAGTTTTCTCTGTTGTCATACAACAAGTCTGATTTGATGATTTCTATCTATTTACCCAAGAGTCACCCAAAATATGTTTCATCGTGATATATATGATGTGATACATTTATATAGCGATAGAAGATTTTGGACATATCGTGCAGCCCTATGCTACGTGTCTCTTGATTGCCTGCTTTACTGGCTTTCCTTCAGGAAAATACAGACTCTGTACCTCTGAAACTTACATTATTCAAGCTGATTGGCGTTCCTTTACCTATGTTAGGAGTTCTTCTAGCGCAAAGCTGGCAAAACATTCCCAAGTGGTCCGTTGTCCATCTGAACCCAGCAGCGCCCAAACGCTGAGAACCACTCTGGTGGAACCATTGTCTCCTTATGTGATTCTCAAGTTTCCCAATCATCCAACCAGACATCAAGTCACTCTGTATGATAGTAATTCAGAATTCAGACCAATTATTTTCTGAGGTCTAAGATAAGTTTGGTCAAGCCAACATGTTCCTTAGTCAGGCATCCTTACTGTTCCTCTTATAGGCAGGAAACTATGTTATCCCAGGCTGTTTAGAAGATCAAACCTAGTCTCACAGCCTTCATACACAAAACATGAAAATACTTGATCAGGATTGGTCCCAAAAAATCTTGATCATGACACCAGACTGATCATAAAGCAGCTAATTTGTATATCAAATACATACTCCGGGTTATCTTCCTAACAGCTGGAGTCAGGATTAAGTCAGTGGTCTTTTTTAATTATGGATGTAAATATTGACGACAATGTGTTCTCTTTATGATGAGTATTCTGTTGTCTCTGGTTTGTGACATTTATGAACTACTAGTGGATTCCCTGGTAACTTTAGGAAGCTATTTGTCAGTTCAGTGGGGAATGATGTACTTCACTGAGGGAACGCAAACAAGATGGTTATCATTAAGTTATGGAGAATAAACAAGTAAATATAATGCACCCCTTTATATTATCTTAGTTATAACAATTTGAAAATATCATCTTTAACCGTCTTTAAAAACGGAAATGTACCCTTGTCCATCCTAAGTCAAAACATAGCAAATCTCAAAAAAGACAACAGTAAATATATATGTAGGCAGAAGATGTAGGCTTCCTTATTAAACCTACATTTATAGTGAAAATACTCTCAAAAAATACAAAATGAACAACATTTCTGAACATGCTACACTGCAGACAATATGTAAAATGTAGGTATGCATGCTTATATGCATGTTCTTATGTCAAGCAAGTGCATGCATATATTTCTGTTTAAGAATGCATACATGTATACATACTGTGAATACAGGCATATCAAGCGTACATGCATTAAAGTAGTATAAAGATTTAGAGATATCTGGAAAAGCGCTGCAACAAACACATTTCCTCATCAATCAAGGCTGCTGACTATTTGCTTCACTAATTGTTTGGCCTAATAAAATGTTAGGAAATAGTAAAAGTTTCCAAAAGTAGTTTTCCAAAACTGAAGGTACTTCTTTTATTGTTTGTATTGTTTTGTCCAACCATCAGTCTAAAGCCCACATTCTTTCACCAACTAATTGTTTTCAGATTTTCGCTAATGATAATATAATGGCACTGAAAGTGGTATAAAGTAAGTTTACCACTAACGTTAATTCAGGAAAAATCATCATCTTATGAATGCCGAACATACAGAAAGTAGTTAAAAAATTATTCCAGCTGCAAAATGTAAGAACTTTTTACATGTTTAGGCGTCAATAATTATAAAAAAAAATACTATATATATAAGAGTATAACTTCTGAGTAGCTCCCTTCTCCGTAATGATTAATTGTATGTATTTATTGTTTTACTTTTGGTTGATTTTACTGCTCTGAGTAATACATTAAAAACTGTAACTTGTACTGTGTTGTTTTTAACATGTGGAATACTTAAAGTACCAAAAGTAAAAGTATTCGCTATGCAGATTGGCCCATTTCAGAATAATATAAGATATGTTTTGATTATAATTACTGATGCATTAAAGTGTTATTGAAGCTGGAATAGGTGCAGCTAGTTTGAATGACTTTGTACAGTATACTGCAGGGTAGATTGTGAATGTTACTCCAGGTGTAACTACCGTAAAGTCCTTTAAAGGTGTTTTGTGTATGTGTGTGTGTAGTGGAGTAAAAGTACACTATTAACCTCTGAATTGTAGTCGGGTAGAAGTACAAAGTAGCAAAACAGTACAATTCTGAAATTGTACTTAAGTACAGTAAATGTACTTAGTTATTTTACACCATTGGCCTTGAATGCAAGATGTTGCCTCACTGAGAGTAACATCCCCACCGTGTTGTCATTCAGCACCAGCTCAACTGGAGAGCGACATTTCCACATATGCGCGCGCAAATCATCCTGCAGCCAAAACAGTGAGCGAGCTGTTTCCACTGGGCGTGGGAACACATGACTCCGTTTATCCGTCCGAGAGGAAAAACTATGACTTCAAAAAACAAGTAGGCTCGTCTCACTGAGCCGACTTTGGTCTGAAGAAGATGTGAAGCTCTCTGCCTTCTCTCTCAGTGGTCTGTCGTTTTTACCCCACAGCCCTTCACACCGAGGCCCCCTATGTCAACACTGAAGTCAACACGTTTCCTGCCACTGACTTTCCTGTCTACGTGTCTCTAAAGCCTGCTGTTTCCGTACAAAATATCGGCCTCCTACCTTCTCCTTGGCAATAACGGTCGGGATGAACGGCAGCAGACCGTTGTTTTCGTGACTCCCCATCCTCTTCCTGCCTCTGCCGCTCCACGTATCGTTGTAAAAGTAAACCGCCACGGCACCTCCCGTTGCGAGACACATCCCGACAGCCAGACATTTCCGTGTCCTTCCTCCACTGGCCGTCTGACCGCCGAGGAGCTCGGTTCTCGCCGCCGTCCTGAGGTTTAGCTTACCGGCCAGTGCTGCCACTCTGCGGAAAGCGGCCATTGCTGCTGTTGTTGCTGCTGCTGCTGCTGCTGCTGTCGCTGTGCTGCTGCTGTGATACAACTTTGCAGGCAGCACAAAGTATCGCCTTTCATCGCGAGATGTGCGGGCACTCTGTTGATGCTGAGGCTGAGAGCTTAGTCCCTCGGGAGGATTTGATGCTTCACTGAATGAGAGTGGGTGATTAAATTTAAACCGCGATCAATGATAAACAAGATTCAGTCGTAGATAAACAGTGTAGTCAATATACTAAGATTACATTGAATTTAACTAAGAAAATGACATGAGACTGGACTATACATTCATTAAAACAAAACTGATATTAAAATAGGCCTACTTTACAGTTGACACATCAAATCTCAAAGTGGGGGCTACCCTAATTCATGAACTTTATATCATATTTTACAGTCCTGTTATCAATAGCAGCGCTGTTAAGGCTACTCTGTTAGACTAATAAAGGTATTCTGATTCTGATTATAAGTATGTTCTAAATCAATGTGTTGTGTAAATTCTTAATCAGCAAAACAACATGTGTATGGTTGTCAGATAAATGTATTGGAGTAAAACATAGATACTCATCAAACGTGCGAAAGTAGAAGTATAAAGTACCCAAACATTTTGAAAAAAAAGAACTAGAGCTCAAATATAACCCTAACTCTAAATCTTGGAACAAACTTGAAAAACATCTTGGTTTACACAGGGGAATTTCTAAGTGACCAATGATATATACATTTGTCACTCTGCACTTTCCATTGAGGGTTAGTGGGGTATCACATTTCTAGTGGGAAGTTTAAGATCAAAGCAGCCAATGGAGAGAAGATATCAAACAGATATCAAAGATGAACTCTTCATTTAAGTCTTTACATGTTAGACTTATGTTAACCTGATGGGGCTTTTCCTTTACCTTTGATGCTGAGAGAATAAAGGCGAGAAGTCTAATAGATGTTCCTATCACCTGTTCTCACATGAAGCACCGAGGATCACTCCTATGAGCTCCATTTAGCCAAAAGTTGAAAACAGATCAAACAATGACTATCAAAACCGCTTGATATAACTCTTGAAGGGGTTTAATATAGCTAATAAGCCCTTAATTTGTCCCTTTAATATCACAATCCAAACAAGTTTTTGCCGATCACGGTGACTAATAATACTCACCTAATTTGTTATCCTAGAGATGGAAATGCTAAATAATTCATGCAAATTTAAAACATAATAGCTGTACAAAAAAATCCTTGGATGTTAAATGCCCACAAGTTTGACATGTAATTTAAGGTGGTCCGCCAGGTGTTTAATATTGACTGTTGCATAACATCTCTCAATTCAAGTATTTACATTGCCCCAAGCAATAGCACACTATGTTTTGTATCCCGATAGCCAACCAGTTTGTCCAATAAAGGTAAAACATTCATTGTTGTGGTTGATTTATATTTGAATGAGACCTATCTAAATGTTGAGAGAAAAATAATCTGAGTTTATGCCTATTTCTAAGTGACATACATAAATAGTGATGGAATTAAACAAGTCTACATTTTCATAGGGGACTTTTCAATCTTGCTTTAAATGGGGACCCCTGGAGTTCCCTAGACTAATGTTTGGGAACCACTTACATTAATAACCTCTAGGCTACTTATTTAGTTATTCCATTATCCAGGCATTCGATTAGGTTGTAATTTATTTTTGTGTGTATGTGTGTGTGGGTGGGTGATGGGGGTATAACCCTAGGGGCCTCCTCCTCCTCTCCATTGACTGCTTTGGCTACAGTGGGCTTCACTCTCAGTCCTACAAACAGTAAACCAACATAACATTTATTTTAAAGCAAACCGTGACCATGGGAACTGTTTACTTGCACCTTGTGTGTGGAAATGTGGCATTGCAGTTGACATCTTCATTGTGGCCAGGTCGATATCCAATACATCAGGATCTGATCAGCCTGGAGGCGATACCGATCGATCGTGTCCCCTTTAAAAAAAAAAGTTCATTTTTTTTACTAGTCATAAATAATAATGAAGCGAGGGAAAGAGGGAGGAGTAGGTACGCATGCCACGCGCAAACACTGTTTGTCTGCCTTATACACTGTTGTACACAACACTAATGTAATGTATGTATAGACAAGCACGACAGTATAAGAATAACTTATAAGATTAAAAGCGCATGCAATTGTCCCACCTCTGTCTCCCTGTCATGCTTTGCTGGACAAATCGACACTAATACAAAATGACCTGCGTAGCGACCACACGCGCGCACAAAAACACCTCGGCACCTTCAACTCATTTATCAACACAACTCCCAAGGGAGGGGGCAGCTGTGCACTCGCGTGCGTTCGTGTGCGCGAGCGCGTGTCTCCATAGCTGCTAAAATCAATGCCATAAAGGCTCGAACATGGCCCTTGTGCCACTGCTTGGATAAACCTCAGTCTTAAATTAAACATGCACCCCAAGCAACACAGATCTGAACAAATGATATGGCATGAATGAAGAAAGGAGGTCAGGTTTAATATTTTCTTAAGGCTACAGGTCAACCATTAATCTATTGGCTTAACATTTTGGTCTAAAACAAAATACTCCATGTAAATGTGCATACATGTAGGCAATAGGCCTAATATAATTTTTTCTGCAAATGAAGCATTATTGAAATTAAAATCTTTGGTCTGCAATGAGTTCGTTTTATTTTTATTTTGGCAGAACGTGACCAATACCTGACGGCAGTTGTTTCGTTAAATATATGGCCGACGCAATACGACCAAACGTTTGATTAATAAAACAGATGTTTATAACTGCACATTTACATAAAGAATTATCAGCTTCTGAAGCCCTTCAAGTGTCAAGTGTCGGGGTATTATCTGAGCTTGCAGTTCAAACAGGTATATTCCCCTCTTCTGGTTGTTATTGCCTGATCCCCTTACAAGATCCCTGCACTTTGAAGCCTCAGTGTCTTTGATTCGTCTTTTTAAGACCACAATTAAGGCTATGGGCTCCTGCGCTGTTCAAAGCCCAGTGGAAAGATCAATGAAAGGATTGACAGTCAAGTGATGTCGTTTGCACAGGTGTGTGTGTGGGATCATGTGTACGATTGTGTGTCTGTGTTTGTGTCTGTGCGGGCGCTGTAAACGTGCGACTGGGTTACATAAAACGGGGGCAATAAATCAACAGTAGAGTGCGAAAATTACGCAAATGGGGGCTTTCCTCTGTCTGTCTCTCCCGCTGCACCTGAGTCATTTCGAAACGGGGGCGTGGAGTTGTAAAGCGTTTAGGGTAATGGAAATATCACTTTCATGCTGTTTGACACACTCTCTCTATGTCCATTTCACACACGCACACTCACACAAACACTGTTAAATGTGCAACTGCTGAAGTGCCCATGAGCAATATTACGTCTATGAGCTTCAGTGAAGCACTCGTCTTGCTGCAGGGAAAACGAAAGGGGAAAACCCTGCATTGCTAATTTATTTGAGTAGTTTTTAATTTCCTCTCCAAGTCCCTGCGCTCTCTGCACTGAAACTGAACATCAAAGGTGAGACAGCAGAACGATGAGCTGAGGGATGCAGATAGGGGTATCAAACGGGAAACAGATATGAGCCATAAAGGGAGGAGATCGGTTGCATTTGCATAAAAAGGCAACTCGGGGTGAATATCCATAGGGAGTAGTGCGTTGGAGTGCAGTGTGAGAGTGCAGGCAGGGGTACCGCAGAAATAAAAGGCTGGAGTAAAGAGAGAGAGAGAGAAAGAGAGAGAGAGAGAGAGAGAGAAAGAGAGAGACAGAGAGAGAGAGAGAGAGAGAGAGAGAGAGAGAGAGAGAGAGAGAGAGAGAGAGAGAGAGAGAGAGAGAGAGAGAGAGAGAGAGAGAGAGAGGAAAACCCTCAAGTGCTCTGGAGCAAAGGGGAGTATCCCGAGGTGAGGAGGAGAGAGAGGCAGAGGATTTGAGAGAGGGGGATAAATAGCAGAAGGAGAGAGGAGAAGAGGGACACGGGCTGCTGCAACCGGGGATACCTGCATACGTCAAGATAACGCTGGAGTTTAATCTTAATTAGATGACAATCTAATTACAGGTGCTGGTGACTGCGCCAAAAACGTGCACTCACTCGGGATTTTCTCCTCCCGCACGTCCAACTTTTATTTTTCTCCTTTTCACGGACTGACCCTCGCTCGCTGGTTCGTACCGAGGCTCACCGCTCATCAATTGGATCTCCTGTGCTGTAAACCCGGATCGGCGGTCTTATCTGTGATGGGGGCAGCGGCGGAGGTGGGGAGCTTCGCCAACGGATTTCTGGACAGCTTTGGCCCCGCGGGTGCAGCTCCGGCTCCCGTTGGCTCTCATTTCGTTCTCACCCCAGCCGGGGCGGTGGACTACAACTCGGTGACCGGACTGGGGCAGCAGCATGACCACCTGGTGTCCGCAGAGAGGCTGTCCCGGAGCCTGGCCGACCTCAGTTATCTGAAGGGGATTCTGAGGCGGCGTCAGCTCTACTGCAGGACCGGCTTCCACCTGGAGATCCGGCCCGACGGCACCGTGCAGGGCACCAGGAAGGACCACAGCACATTCGGTAAACACCACTTCAAAAATAATCCTATATTCATTGTAATTATGATTATGAGTAGTACGCCTAATAGTGTATTGAAGAATTTCTGCTTGCTATAGGCATTATTGTAGAATAGAATGACAGGTACGGTGGAGGTCCTGGAACAGACAGACAGACACACACACACACACACACACACACACACACACACACACACACACACACACACACACACACACACACACACACACACACACACACACACACACACACACACACACACACACACACACACACACACACACACACACACACACACACACACAGTTCAGTGTAATGTTAAACTGATTGTTAATTTAAAACTATTCATACCATTATAATATCCATACTTCCGCCACACAGGTTATATGATCAATGCTAATGGGATATGAAGTAGCCCACTGTGATGGCAGCTGCTGCTCTAACACCTAACTGTAATCTAACAGTAGATGTTATAAGGCATAAAGATTTATTCGATTTTTAGTTTTATTTAGTTTATTAAGAACATATAACAAAATAAGTATAACATAACAATAAAATAAAAATCAAACATATAGTTGATTCTTAATATACTAATTCTTAAAAACAATATAAATAAACAATGTGAATATATATTACTTTTGTAAGAAAAGGAGTTCAAAAAAGTCTACACCCATATTCCTATTCTCCATAACTCAAACAATTGACTTAT